ACCATGTATAGACATAAAGGCATCACCCATCATAGTATGAGCATCTGCCATCGGATGATTACTAACGATTTCCTTAAAACAATTCGTGAACATTCCCCTATCCCTCTTCTCTTTAAGGTATATATGGGCCATTTTACTATGAGCTTGGAAGTAATATGGCTGCCCTGGTTTTACTTCATTTAATGTGTCTATTGCTGTATCGATATCTGTTTTACGAAGAGCAATATCGGCTCGTGCAATTAAAAGACGATTCTCTTCAGATGTGTATGAGAACTCTTGAATTGCCTCCTGAAAGAATTAGTTTGAATGAATCCCTTTTAGAAAGATAGAGTAGATAATTGAAATGTAGTCCCCTTATTCTTATAAAGTAAATCACTCTATATTACGTAACTATTCTTTTGTCTTTCTATCAAGTTATGTTTGCGTTGTGATAAGTGAGACGTAGATAGATATAAATAGATTTTTAATAGGGTGTTAAAAGAGATTTAAGATTTATAAAAGAGGCACCATACTTAAGATAACTCTTGACTTTAAATCTTTGAAAAAAACAGAGCTTTTATACACGACAAGCAAGTGCTAATAGACTTAATTAATTAAACAGAAATAAAACTTACACGCAATCAATACATGGTTAGGGTAGTAGGACTCCTTTCTCCGCAATTAGACTCGTAAATGGTCCGTTGTGCGTACAATCAATACATTTATTTATATAACTTAATGAGTAATATAATAAGATGATTTTTTTAAATAAAAATTTAAATTACCTGCAAATTTTTCCCTGCATCACCAAATAATCCTACCACAGTTTGTAGTTCAATCATTTGAAGATACAATGTGGCTTTATCTATTATATTGAAATCATCAATTTGTTTGTTCGTACCTATGTTATTCTTGCTGTTAAGAATATGAAGACTTGTTGTAAAAAATGATAGGGCATCTTGTGCTTGGTTTAAATTTTTCAAAATCACACCATTTAAAAAATGATACATCGCACTGTCCCTCACTTTGAAGTTGTAACTAAGACACATTTCCAAGCATTGAGCGGCCTTTAAAAACTGTTGTTGTTGTATATAGATCTGTGCTAACAGAACTTGACTTCCCGCATGTGTATTATCCATATCTCCAATTTGTAAAGCCAACTTCTCCGCTTCTAATGGCAAACCAAACTGAAACTGTAGTTTAGCTAACTCGTGTAAAGCTGGTATTAAGCCTGGACAAGCATCAGTTATCGTTTTCAATAATTTAAGGCACTTCTCAACTGATACGTTCTTTTCATCCTGTGAGTAGGATAAATAGCTAGTTATAACTAAGGGTTTCTTCGGCAAATACTTTTTATACTCTTTGTAGACGTTGAGCAAAAATTCGGGGTCAAGGTTTTTGATGTATGTCAAACTGTATGGGTGTGTGTTGGCTTTGGATAGTTGAGAATCAATTGCCTTATTTAGATATGAAGTTGCATCTTTTGTATGCAATTGTGCGGTTAGTAGGTATAAAATTGGAAATTTATTAGTTCCCTGCATTTCAAATAACAATTCCACTTGCTGTGCTACTTGGTCTGTTGGGCCATTATCAGACATTTGGCATAGTGTTAAACCACATAATGCTGTTATAGAGTTACTATCAATTTTGCTGGCTGCCTTAAAGAAACTTAGTGCATCTTTGTATTTGCCTTGTAGAATACACTGATACCCAACTTCACTTAAATATTCAACATTACTTGAGTACATTTCAAATGCATATTGTGCAAATCTATAAACTTGCGATACAACTGTACTAGACTTTGCACATATTTTAGAAAACGTCTGTGCAATGTCATAAAACTGATATCCATTTTGTGTCTCCTCGTTTTCCAAAATTGTATATAGTGTATTTAATTGGTCAACTGCTTCTATATAATCTGAATTTTTACATAGGGCAATGAATATTCGAATTTTCAAAGCTTCTAGATTAGTTGGTTCTAAAGATAGTACTCGCTCTATGGTGTCATATACAGCCTCCCATCTTTGAGTAGCAAATTCATTTTTTAATTTCTCAATCAAAGGAACGACTTCTCTAGGATAGTGGACAATCAATTTATCAAGAGTCAAATTAGATAAATCGTGATCTTTTAATAGATACTTTAATTTTGCCAATGCAAGTAAACCTTCCACATTTTTATCATTTTTACTTAAAATTAACTCCAAGGAGTCTTGTATTGATGCATGCATATCTAAGTTCAAATACATATCATTGTATGCTTTAAGTATGACTGCGTCTAGGTTATTTGGATCCTTTCTTAGAGATTTATTTACATAATCTGCAGATTTTTCATACTTTCCAGCAAATGATAGGAAGAGACCAGCATAGTATAGTGATTTTGCATCTGCATGTTTCCTTTCTTCTTTTAACTTAGCTTCCAAGTTATATAAATCATCTTTTTCTATGGTATTTACAAGCTTGTGGCTATAGATAAGTGACATGACTACAGCTAAGTTGATATCTTGATTAGACTGTAGTGGCAGCAACTCATTTATGCCTAACTGGCCTTGGCCTTCAAATATATTGCATAAAGCGTGGTAAAATAAAAATTCAGAAGATTCACTAGGCTGTAATGATGAATGTTTAGAAATTTCTTTAGCTTTGCCATAGCATTTTTCTCTTATATAATAGTGAATGTTACACCTATTTAAGATACTCGCCATTTTAACTAATCCAAATCCAGCTTAACATTAAGATTTTTGTAATTTTTTATGTTATCCTGGTAGAATTTTGCTAGAAAGTGACATTTGCATATCACATCTAGCTTCTGCTTTAATGCATAATCAAATGCATGCTGTAAAATAAAAGGTTTATATTGAATCAAGAATTTAACTAAAGGATTACATATTTAAGGAAGTAACTTAACTGAAACTTATAGTTAGTTTTTAGTCACATAATTTTAAAAAGCTTTAAAATTAATTTTAAAAATTTACAAAAAGCTCAGGGCAGTAATAAAATTCAAATTGTTACCTGTCCCAATAACTTCCCAACACCTTTGCCCTGGAATTCAGCAGGCACATCAGTATGAATTAATGTAATTACTTTGCCTTTTTCCTCATAGCTTAAAATGGCTTCTGCTGACAAAAACAAATATTTTTACAGTATTTAAATATACAAAAGACTTCTGAAACAAGATAGTAAATTATATTTAATTATACAACAAACCTGTTTGCAAAGTGATCACAAACTGTTGCTTAGCAACATTGTTGACAACTTTCAGCGCCTGTGTTGAAAAAGCTCTAGCTCTTGTTAACATTCCAGTCGCTTGGATAAAAACTTTACAAACAAAATTATTTTAAACTATTGAAATAGTTAAGAATAAAAATATTTATATAATATATTTTGACTAATGCGTATTAGACTAGGCAGTAGTGAGTAGGCAACTATCATAAAAATTTAAAATATTCTGACATTTGACAGACGATAACTTTAATGTTTGAAGATTGAAATTTGAGTGTGTGGAATCACAGATTCTTTGAATTTTTATTTTGACATATCAATATATGTTATGGCGGGAAAATATGACAATAGTCAATACCAAACACTTGAGTGATTAATTAATTAATAGCTTGACAATCACTCGTTTTTATTTGTTGAGCTTTGGAATAGTTGGTACTGGGATTAAACCGAGTTTGTTACAATATTAACATTGAGATAATTTGAACATAAAGCAAGTCAATAGTTGTGATAATGTTATGGGGGTTTTTGTTACACTAATATATAAAAATATAGAAATTGAGTTTTCTGTGTGTCCCTAACAAGTATCACTAATGTTAATTTTTTAGATCTCTAGGTACTAAAATTATAATTGTGTCAAATATGTCAAAAACAAACTGATTTGGTTCTTTGATAGGAAATTAATTAAAATCGTAGTAAATTAATTATAGGAAAGAATAAACTAGCATATTCCTAGGTTTCTTCACAATGTTTTTCTTAAAACTGCAAGCGATTGTTAAATGCGCACTTATAAAGAAATGTCCATTACTGCGGAGTTGATGCTCAAAGATGAGAGTCGTACGCTCAAGCACCTGGTCGCAAATCCATTTAAACTTTTAAAATATTGTCAATTAGAATACAGCTTATGTTTTAATTTGTGTGTTATTGAAAACAAGCGCGCCTTTGACCATTTTTAGACATCTTTTCGATTATGTATATTCCGGTGCGGTATTATATTATAATATCGACACGCGGACAAAGACGTAGGCACTTTCTAGTAAAGACAATAATATTATGAAATTATATATAATATACAACTATTATCTAACATATTTATAACGAGGGAAATTGCCTTTAATTCATAATTAAATATGAAGTGGAAACATTACATTATGGGTTTTGTGGTAAGTGCGTAATTTACAAGACTTTTTTTAATTACTACTATTTGATAATTTTCTCAGAGTAACCTGTAACAATGGTGTGGCCCATAAACAATAATATTTTTTTCATTAAATTAATTAAGCTAAACCATCGAATCAGAAATTTAAGCGAAGAATCAAAATTTACTTAATTTAAATTAAATTAATTTAAAGTCAGTCTCAACAGAGAGGAGGCATGTAGCTGAGATGGGGGCAGTTGTGGTGCCTAGAGAAACACAAAGGCTTTTCTTATTAATTAAGTTGTCAATATTTTCTTTTCTATAACTTACGAGCAGTTTTAACCTAGTGGCTTCAGCATGAGACTCTAATCCCTGAGACTGTAGGTTTTAACCCCAGTTGGCACCAATTGACTTAATGTACGCGTACGCATTTAATCGCTCGTAACATCGTGAGGAAACCGACCTGCCTCAGATTAAAAAAGACGACGGCATGTGTCAGGCACAGAAGGACGCAGGATCATCTTCTTGCCTATTACAAAAAACAAATAATCACGAAACAGAAACAGAAATCTGAAGCTTATTTTTAAAATATTAATCAGCATTTGTTACTATTGTCCCCACCCCAAAATTCGTTACTTAATTAAAAACTGCCCCTGTATATACGTACATGGTTTATTTATCAGTGAAGATCACGTTGAAGTTTCTACTTGCTTTCAACTCTTTGTCTTCCCACTCTTCTTCTTCTCGCTCTATACATACTTCTACTGGCTCCCAGGCCTACCTTGACAGTCGGCCGTCTTTCAGACATAATATTTTCCCCCCCAGAAGCAAGACTTTTCAGCAGCTAATATTAAGGAACGATTTTTTTTCGCAGAGTATATGCTGCCTTTGGTACGCCAAGGCAGCTGTCAACTGTACTGGCAACGGACGATTTCCACATTTAGACGACCCACTATGTAAATCATATTACATGTGTGTATATTTACCGTGGAGTGGAAGCTATGTACATTATAACTATACTTGTCCCAGCACATCTTTATTTAATCCAACCACAGCGCAGTGCACGACTAACTACACCTGCAATGGGGCGACGGTTTGCACAGCAGTGGGCCGGATTCCGGATCTCTCGACAAATTGTTCCGGTTACATCGATTGTATTTATATAAACGGTGCAATCTTGGAAAATCCAGTTAAATGTCCTGGGAACAGTTTATTCAATCCGGCTTCTAGTGATTGTGAATTTAATTATTCTTGTACACCTGTGTGTTTGGCGGTCGGTAGATTCCCCGATACAACAGTTCCTGATTGTAAAAATTACTATATGTGTCTCCGACTTGGTGATGGTACGTTGGTGTCATACAATAATTATACATGCCCATCTATTTCTGTATTCAATCCAAACACACAGATGTGTACTACAAATTACACTTGTACTACGTAATGTTTGAAAGCAATCATTTTATATAAGGCGTTAAAAATTATATTTATTTCATCATTCACTCATTACTTTACAAAACCAGTAAAATGATGTATTTAAATTATTAGGAGCGCAACGGGAAGCCTTATTGCTTAAAAGCAATCACTTCCAGACAACTAAGAGAAATAAAATAAGTGAAAGCTACAACTAATATTAAATAAAATCAAATATAGTCTATGAAAAGTGCGCATGAAACACGATCATTTCTGCTTTATGTTAGGGATAAAGCGTTTGATAAAGTCTGCTTACAGCAACGCTTTAAAGGTAATGGCGAACTCCTAAAAAGTAACTAAGAAGTTACAGTTCATTAATAATGTTATTATATCAGCTTCAATAACATCGATTACGTTTTCTGTTAATAAATGTTTAGTAAAATAACTCAGTATTGATTTTTATTAAACGTTTACTCCACTGGCTTTGCGACCCAAAAAGTGTATTGGTCTGATAATCTTCCAGAATAACTAAGGCAGCTCCCACTAATTCGTATATTAATCTAGACTTGTAATGTGATTTTGGCACTACAATTAACAGTTCTTAATAACTTTATTCTTTATCAAATGATTCCTTCAATATGCGTCGAGCTATACATTAATACAGCTTACTGCCACTCTATGTTTTTCTATTATTGTAGCATTCCCTATCCAGAGATAAGACTCTAAGAAAAATACTAAGGTATCATCTCCGCTACAGACATATTACATTTGTTGCGGACTGTGTGTGGAGATCCCATCGCTCAATTCTGCAGCTGTTTTTTTTAGACGAATTTTAATTGAATGAGAGAGTATGCAATGGATAGTTAATTTGCTGATATAAATTACAAATATATCTTTTTTAACAACTTCACGTCATGTTAAAGGATATTTTCACACTTTCCTGAAGCGGGAATCGTTTAAACAAATAGCTAATCATTTACTATTACTACTACGTAATACTTTCAATGTTATTTTTCTATAATCTTTTTTGTGAGTAATTTGTAATTAAAGTTATATCTTGAATAAATATTTTTTTAAATCACTAGGTTAATCCTTACAGAGCGTTATTCACGTTGACGTCTTGGAAGTATACCCGCTTAGTTCCGCACCTACCATTTCTGACTGCTTTAGTGACGTGAAGAGAAAGTTCTGGGACCCTAGGTAAAACCCTTTAGCGGTTAGAGTATCTGTGGGCCGCTATCTGGGCGATTAATTATAGAGACTATTGACTCTATGGAACTGTTCCAAACTTAAATAATAATTTGAGTTTATTGTAGTAGTGTACAATATTAGGTGGTAGGATAAAAAATAAAATGAGTCACACTCCACATACGTTGAACATGGTCCGTATTTTGTCGACGCTTCGCATCGTCGCTATCCAGTGCTGTAATATAAATAACAGTAGATGTCACATGAAATACAGGTGAATTATATTTATATAGAAGACCTAATGTAAGTAAAATAATAATTGGCCCTGACAAGAAACTATTTAGTTAAAGATTTTTACACCATAGTAGCCAGGGAAGATGGCTCAATGCGAGCTTTAAGTGGCCGTTTAGCAAGCAATATTGACGAAGGTGGTGTGCTCAAATTTCAGAGGTAAACTTCCTTTGGGTGGCAACAAAGAAAGTAAATTGAAAATATCAGTAGACATACTGTAATAACAGTAAATCTGATGGTTGCGGCAGCCGTGCCTGCGGTGGTTGCGATCGACGTTTGTCGACCAATCAACATGCAGTCGGGCTCAAGGCGTAGCGCGCGCAACGCGCTTGCGCATGTGTTCAATATTGTTTCATGTGTTTTGACCGTTGGCGATATAAAATCAAAACATTGTGTAATAGAATAAGTTGTTCAGTCTACATAATTAAATCGTACGTGTTTAATACTTTAGAATTTATACAGTATTTATTATAAATATAAGTTTTTTTTTAATTGTTACACTTTTTTACTAAAAAAATAACTAAATAAAATTCTTTAAGGAGTCTAAACCCGTCGTCTCGAGATAAATTAAATGTTCAATGTTTTTGTTAAAATAACCTCCAAATAATTTAAATTGTTTGTACTAATTAAAACAGTTTCCGATTTCCGGACAGATTAGCATTTATAGTAAGCATCATTTTATTGTCTGCTTTAGGTACTTAATTGTACGGGAATTAAAAATATTTTTTGTTGTTTATAATACATTAACAGACTACAGAACAAAAACATTGTGTTAAGTATTGCCAGATGTGATTGTTTATAAATGTTGTGAGTGGTGACGAGCTTATGGGGCAATGTGTGTCCCGGGATTATCCGGGCCCTTATGGATTTACGCGTCATTATGACGCAGAGAGCCTCGCCAGCAGTTGCAATGGTTCCACAAAGAAGGTAAGTTCAGTCTTATCATCTAGTCAAGACATATTAACTACGTAAGTAATGGCCCCAGACTTTAGTTTATGTTATTAAACATTAATATATTGTAGTGTTTCTACGGATATAACAGCAATTTTTTTTACATTATTCTCTGTCTTACTTTAAATATCTACTTTACAAGTACCTGGGGGCTAGGTCCAGATGCCTTAAAAATAGTGTATGTAGAAAGTAACTAAATTTGTATGAAAATTTGTCGACACGAACTGTCATTTTCATACAAATTTAGTTTTCGACATCGTATCCCTTTCGTAAACGGTGATTTGAAATTATCGTGATTCTTTCTTTCTCGTGTGTCCGTTTTATTATTAATGTCCCTTTTTGTTTACATATGTTTTAATGGCTTTGCTTTGTTCCATTAGTTTTGTTTAAGTAACTATAATATGTCTTATGTAGTTATGCACTTCTTGCGCTTAGCTTATTTACCCGTTTGAGTAAAGAAGAGCGCGATTGTGCTCCTGCGCATGTGTGCCAAAATTGCCAGCTCAATAGAGCTTCCAAAATCAACGATTTTTCTTGGCATTTTTAGGCATATGAGTATAAATCCATGGCACTCAAACGTTTAATTGTTTTTCCTCACAGTGTTTGCTTGGAAGAGATCCCTCTAAAGCAATAAGGCAACTTGCCCTCCTTTTTATTTAATTATTTTAATTGTACTGTATTACTTCAACGAAGTGTTAATAATTAAATGATTTTCAGTCAGAGCGGGTCCCTTTTATATTTGACGAACATAAAAATAATGTTAAAAACAATAGTAAGTGTAAATATACTCGAAAACCATAAATATCGTTTAAAATTCCTCACCTAAAGTGCAATCTTTCTATACTTGGCTGCAATGTTTGAGCTCTCATTCTAGTCACGTTCACGAGAAACAAGAACAACTGAGTCTTATAATAGAAAACTCCGTTAAAAGGTATAATTCAAAATGCTTAAGACTCGCCAGCTATGGTCGCCATCAATAGCACGACTTCAAATCAAGTGACAACTACATAACACACTTTTTTGAAGTTTTGAGGAGTTCCAACTGGTAAGGAATAAAATTGTTTTCATCAGACAGATGCGACTCAAACTCTGGAAACTTTAGGAATTCACTTGTTTAAGCACTCGTGCGCATGCACCTGTTGTCGTAAAAAGATCCTTTAATCAAACACGAATTTTTTGTCACGGAAATGAACTTTGCAGACAGCCTTCAAAAAACTCGGTCAATTCGTTCTCTGACAAATCATCTTGCCTCAAAAGAACAACAAAAAACCAAACAATGTTTTTATGCAAATATAAAATTAATATTTCTGTTGAGTAACATATCGTCTTTTAATACTGTTATTAAGGTTTTAGAGGTCTGGAAGCCTCGGGGCATCAAATGAGTGGCCCCAAATTATTTTCCAAATAAAATGAACAATTTTTTCAATCAATAATTTATTGTGAAACCAAGTAGATTCTTTTAGTATTTAACAAACATAAAAATACAGATCAATGATTTATGTTAATATTTAAGAACAATATAATCATGTTTGTACGAAGGTAAAGGTAAAACAGTGAAAATCAAATATCAAAAGAAAAGTTGTTTACTAGTGGATTTTTTTTCCCTTTCCTAAATCCAGCCCAGTATTAGATTAAATCGCGTGTAAAGACGATAAAATTATAAAATAAGTGTGTAAGTTACTATTACTATCACCCCAGAGCTGGTGCTTTCCTCGCTCAACGAATATGTATCGCAATACAGCGAGGAAATGCTGCCAGCGTTTAAGTTACACTGGAGTCTGCAACAGGGACCTTTTAAATTTGTTTAAAGTTTCTATTTATTAATTTTAAATAATAATTAATTCAATAAATAATATTAAATATTTGTGATGATGTTTTACGCAAAAAAAAACAAATTCAGTTTAAGCGAATAAAACTTTCCCCTCGTTTTTGTTAGAATTTTTTGTACTCGTGTAAATAATTAATAATTACACAATATTTTATTAAACAGTAACAAATTCAAGGCAGACCTCAATTGATACACAATCTAATTTATTCAATTAATCGTAAAATTAATCGATATTTACAAAATCCAATTAAAAATAAAGGCCCCGATTTCTAACTTTCCAAGCGTGACTAGGGTTGAATGATGTTGGGAGAGATGTGTAACATAGATAATAAATACAAATGCAATTTATTTTGTATCTGGCAACGGTTTTGGTGCCGGTTTTGTGGTTCAGTTAATTGCACCAAACGTCTAAGTGAAATGACTCTTTAGATAGATTCCTGAGGGAAATAATTACACAACAAATTTTCTACAGCTACCTTTAAGGTCTGGGCCTCAGATTTCTAAATCTGTTTCATGATCATTTGTCAATATAATAGGAAAGTAGCTAAGTGCCTGACACACGTTGATCCTTTGGATCTAAGGCAAGCTGGTTTCCTCACGATTTTTTTCTTCACCGTTCGAACTAATATTAAATGCGCACATAGAAAGTCCATTGGTGCACAGCCTGGCATCGAACCTACCACCTCAGGGATGCGACTCGCACGATGAAGCCACTAGGCCACACTGCTTGTAGTATAGGTTAATTAAATTAATCCCCGCGTATTATTATTCAAGAACATTTTATTTTTACTACAATTTATTGTCTATGCTAATGTTAAATTTTGACATTTATATATATTCTGCGGCTCACGTCTTTTATTAGATTTTAATTTATTCACATGCAACACACACTTGTATTGACATAAATATTATTCTACTAATCAAAGGCTGTGGCTTTGGAATTCACTTACCGCCCCCTTTCCGCTTCTCCGTCTCTATCTCCCTTTAAATCTCTACTGTACAAGCATTACCTGTCCACATCGTATTCATAACATTCGTACTAACTGCTCTAACGGAAATTATCCTGGTTGCTGGTGCAAAAGAACAGAGTTCCTTCCCCTTATTAGACTAAAAGTTGTGTTATTGTTTTTTATGTTAAAAATCCTTTTTAGTAAATTAGGTTAGTTTTAAATTCCTTATTAGTCTTAAGGCTCATTCGATTACGATTACGATTTGTACATAGGTACAGAGACAATTTTTAAAAATGAGTCCTATTTTTATAATCCTTTTCATTGTCTAAATGTTTTAATTGATTTGTTTTGTTCCATTCTTATTGTCTAATTAATTGTATTTATTTATATACATACATAAATAAACAGAAAAATTACAATACACAAGAACAAAGTTATTTTAACATGGCAGAGATTGATAAAGACCTAACGGAAGCTGCGGGCGAAGTTCACTCTATTAAAATTTTCAATGCTTTAGTCTGCTTTTCGGAATGATGCAAGCGAACCTGTTTCTGATTCATCACCGCTATTTAAATAACCCAAAACTGGTATTTTAAGGCTTTTCTAAGCCGAGATATCATATTTAACTGTCCTTTGCGTGCCTTTAGAAGCTGCTAAACATAAAATAATGTTGAATTATTTGATACAATGTGTATTTTTATGTAATTCGTAGTTTACTATTGTTTTAAAGTTCCTCTCAATATCGAAGAATGTTTACTTTAAACTAAATAAACATTTGTATATTATATTTATATAATATTATAAACAGGGAAGATTTGATTGGTTTTGCATTGAATAGGCTTAATAAGAATAAGTTTTTCTTGTTGAAATTATGGTTTTATATGAAATTACGATAGTGAGAACCCAAGGTGTGAAAAAGACGAATAAAATTCCCTAATCGCGTACACTGCAGAAAATATTGATAATAGAGCAAAGTGATGTACCTACTACAGTTTTATAGCTGATAACAATAAGTTTTTTTTGCATTTAAAAGTCCGAGAAACGCTTTAGGCTATAGAAAATCGGGCTACGACTGAATTAATGAGGATGGAACTGCAGAGCACAGCTAGTATATTATATATATGTTCAAAAAATAAAACAAATGTCGATCTACACAAACAACTTAATATTTGTAGTTTATGAAATATGTATACTTAAAGAAAACACTTTTTTACCGGATTGAAGTTATGTATTATTATAAATTTACAATTATTTTACATAATTTTAAATTTTTCCGCCGTTTCGCGTGCCTTACAGCGTGCGTGGTCACCGTGACCTGGTGAATATGTATACTCCTAATCTGTTCTTCACAGATACACATAGTTTTAGATTTAGATACCTAGCGTTTACTAGTTTCCGAATGTCAAAAACGTATTGGATTAAACATACAGAAGTCATTAGCGCTAAGCATATACCTACTCCGAATCTTTCTCTAAGTGTCGAAATAGTGTTAGTGTAGCTCTACACTTTCTGATATGCTTTATGCCTTCTATTAAGATGTTCAGTTTACCATAAAGACAGTTGCGCTTATGTAATCCAGCTAATTATTACAAAGCCTTGTAACGCCATCTTGGGTCTATAAATTTTGTTCTTATAAATTCATGAAAAGTCAGATCATATAACCGAAGAATAATTCGGCTGGCCCAGACTGGGAATCGAACCCAGATTGTTTGGTTACGCGCCAAGAGCTCTACCAGTTAAGCACGAGACTCGTATCTGATAAACCAGCTGTTTAGTTGCAGTATAGATAAATATACAAATACCAATTCTTAAAAGGCCGGCAACGCACTCGCGAGCCCTCTGGCATTGAGAGTGTC